TCATTCAGATTAGCTGTGAGCTCTCAGGACAGTGTGTGAATGTCCAGATCCTCAGAGCATGTCTGAAAGCAGCTTCACAGATAAGAAATTCAGATCCAGGTGTTGTCGTCTTTTTTTTTTTCTTTCTTAGTCCTTTTAGCATGCACGTGTTAACCTGTGTGGGTAAATATAAAGACGGAAAGTGTAAAAAACAAAAAAAATAACAAAAAAGTGACCAAAAACAAAACAAAAAAAACAACCAACTAACAGTTTCTTTCCTCTCTCTGTTAAGCGATACGTACTTCTGAAGCTTCTCACCGCTGCTCGCAGTGGCTCATATTCACTTTTGACAGAGGAGGCGCTGTAGTTGCTCTCCGACCATTTTTAACGGGCGCTATCATCTGGAGGGCTTTTTTGGGGGGTGGCTTGCAACAACACGTGTAGAGCCGATCCGCCGCGGCAGGTCTGACTGAAAAACAAGAAGAAAAAAAAAAAAGAAAAATTACACTACTTGAAAGACGACAAACAAAAAAAAATGTATTACAAAAGAAGCTACTCGTCACTCAAAGTGATTCTAGCCAGTGTAGTCTATATTTCTTGTATTAGATTTTGTATTATATTTTCCTAAATGTGCCCTTGTAATGAAAAGACAAAAAAGATCCATATATCCATATATATCTATCGATATAAATATATATAAATATATATATAAATATATAATACTGTATATGTGTGGGTGAGTGTGTGTGTGTGTGTGTGTGTAATTGAGAGACAGACAGAGAGAAAGCCAGGCTTGTTGAGAGGAGAGTGGAGGCAGGGGAGCTGATACACTGGCCCCTCTCCCATTGGTGGACTCTCCCCTGCTGTCATTCTGTGCCTTGATGAGCCTTCGAAAAATCTCCTCCTCCCCCCTTCACAACCCCTCGCCACCCCTCCCCCCTTGAACCTGCGGTCCCTGCTCAGGTCCCAGTCCTCATCCTCATCCTGTCTTCATGGCCTTCTTACAGCGTGGGGGGGGGGACTTAACCATCATCATGCCAAAAAAAAACACTTCCACCAATCAGGGGCAAGAGAAGGGGAAGATGAGGCCACTGTCGTACTACGCCCTGTCTTTACGCCCATCCATCTGCCAAATGCTGCCACCGTCACATAAGAAACAAACACACTGGTTCTCCATCTCCCATGGCAGCTTCCCATCATCCTTTAATGGTTACCAACAGGGTTCAAAACGTTTGGGCTTCAGGCGTGTTTTTCTGTTGATTTTTTTTTTTTTTTTCGTTTTTGTTTTGTCATTTGAGTCGTGTTGTGATGTTGAATATGTGTTTTTGTTCTAGCAGGAGACCCTGGGAGGGGAGCGTCTAAAGAATAATCCCACTGATGGCAGCTTAAGGTGTACACGCTCCGCTCTCCCAGCGGTCCATCCCTGAAAGTGTTACCCCTGGACGTGGGGAAACCTCTTGAGACACAGCAATATTTACCATCTTGTGCTTTCTGACAGGAAGAGGGTGGGTGTGAGGGTGGGGGGACGCGGGGGTGATTAAGACAAGCAGGTGGTTTTGCTTTTGACTCTGTGGTGCGTTTCGTTTTTGTCTGTTTTTTTGTTTATGACCAACTCTTTTTGATTTTTTTTTTTCATCTTATCTGCACTCCCTCTCCATACACTGCAGGAGGGCAAAAACTAAAAAAAAATAAGTTGAGATGAAAATTTGAGATTTGTTGTTGTTTTTGTTTTTTTTCAAAAGATTAAAAAAAAGTTTACATTCATGTCAAAGGATTTGTACATGACTGTTTGTAGCAAAAACAAAGAGACCTTTTTCACTTTGTTGGTCACATGAACAACCGTCTGAACATTCTCTCTTGCACAGAACCTCCCAGTGAGAAGGACGAGGGGTGAAAACTGAGTGAATGAGACGAGCCGAGAGCCAGAGTTGAGATTAATAACTGTTGACCAATGTGCTCAGACTGTTGTAACTGGATGTGGGCAGACAGTTTTACCTTTTTTTTTTTAGTGCAACATTCTGAAATAATGAGGTGCCTTGGAATGATATTTTTATAAGAGAGAGAGAGAGAGAGAGAGAGAGAGAGAGATTCCACCAGTCAGTGATGATGGTTCCATCAGATGCAGTTACGTTTCATTCTCACTTAAATGTATGAAGTGTATTTAACGAGCACAAACACACACACACACACACAGTCAGCGGGGAAGGAGGGTGTCGGCAAATCAGGTTGGAGACACCGTTCCATCCCCTGACCTGCTGACCCCACCACACAATAATGTCTCGGTAAAATTGTCAGTCTGCCAAACAAAGTCACTTTTAATCCTGCCTTCCTGAATGGGACAGTAGAGGACAACATTATTAGACTCCTTAAATGAATTACTTTTTTTTTTTCACCACACGTTTCCTTCCTGTTGTTAAAAAGAGTTTCATTGAGGACGCTTTCCTTTATTATTCCTTATTTTACAAACATAAAATACGCAACTCAAGGTAGAAAGAATTCACTTTCCTAATCCTGAACAACTATTCTACTGGATATTACCGTTAGAATCTAATCATGGGTTCATGGTGTAAATAATGAGGCCAGCGTTTGTCAAGTATTCTTGATTTTCATAAAAGTACATGGGAATTAGATGATAGGAGTACATAGAGGGGTTTTAACCCACAGTAAGGGGGTTGGTGATTTATTGATTCAGAGTGGAGGTCTGCTAACGTCTTTCCAGAACTCTTTGATAACAATTCCAAAGTTCATCATTTGTTCTTGCTGTAAAACAAGAGACCGCGGTGCAGGGAGTTTGTTTGGGCTGCGACACAGCTCAGAGGAGGGAGGGTTCTGTGCCAGAGACCTGTGAATATGTTCCTTTTTAGCGGATGTGTAAAATGCATTCAGAAGGATGTTATTACAAGTTCCTTTTCTTTTGTTTTGTTCTGTTCTGTTCTGCGCCCGAGCGCGTGTACACAAGTATCTGGTGCTGGCTACAATTTTTAGCAAACACTTGAAGGTATTGTGTGTTCTCTCATTGTAATATAATTAAAATGTTTTATACAAAAAAAAAAGTTTATTGTCCCTGTGATGGTCTGTAATCGAGTCGTTTAGAACGTTTATGTTTTTGGGTTTGAGGAAAAAAAGCACATATTTAAACAAGAAATAACAGGATTTAATGATCTCCGCTCAACAGGTTTTCGGCTGTTAGACATCTCGCAAAAGAATCTAAACATTCAACTTCTTATTTCTTCAAAATATATCCTTGGAATACATTTACACATATTATTTCAAAATATATTATATTATTTTTCAAGTCTTGAAGCACAAACAGAATGCAGGCGTCTTAAATGGAATGAATGATCACAGAAAGTCAACGACACGGGAGAATTCAGTTCATAGTAAAAACATCTACTCACAGTGGAGACAGCTGAGCGTCTGATCACATTCCATTAAGAATCTGCAGAAACATAAAACTGAGATACGTTTCCATTTGGTGTTTTTTAAGTTCATCAGCTCAGGATAGAAACAGCAAACGGCATCAACCTACGACTTCATTTTCATAAATAAATGTTATTGTCGGAATAAGACCTTAAAAAGCCAGCGATCATGAAATAAACGAGTGGTAAAATATACAATTAAGTTCTTTATGCATATAAGAATTAAATAATCATCTAATGCTATTGTGATATGTGACTACTGCAAAAAAAGAAACATACCTGCTGTAGTAGAACCATGGTATTCACATGTAATGCATATATATACATATATATACGCGTGTATATATATATATATATACATATACATACATATATAAATATATATACATACATGTACATATATACATATATCAACATGTATACTCACAAATATATGTACACACATAAACATATATACACATATATTGTATGTACATATAAAATATATATATACATATGTTACATACATACAGTATATGTATACATATACAGGAAAGTCCAGTAAGTTGCAGCTTTCACGTGCAGCTGGTCTCAAAGTCTCTGAATGGATTGGTGTTTCATTCAAAGACTTCAGACCGGACAAGACCTGAGGTTTAAATCAACGTTGATTGAGAAAAGACACAGTCAGTCCAAGACAGGACCGGGTGAAAACAAGCAGCAGAAAAATGAATCCTATATTTCAGTGCAACTGTCGTGGAGAAATGATGGAGGTTCCCACGGGAAAGATGACCAGTGATGATGACTCAGGGACCGTGGGTGAGTGACAACCTACAGCCTTCAGTCTAGCTGAGACGTTAATGATGATCAAAAGATGTTTGTGTTGTACCCACCGTACCCAGACACACACAAACACACACACACAAACACACACAGAGTCTGGTTTTCATGAGTTGTGACGACTTCATAAACATAAACATGACACATTCGCGAAATTCCTACCCTGACCGTAACCGCTACAAATGTTGCTTAATCTTAGTGCTTACCTTGAGTCAGGCCTAAATCTAACCCTGACTCTAAACTTAACCTTAAACCTCAAAATACCCTCTTTCCTCAGGGAGACCTGATAATGTCCCTACAAGGACAGAGGGTTATCAAAGCATTAACCAAAAATAATGGAAAGATCTTCCAAGATCACACACACACACACACACACACAACAGACACACACACACTCACACACACACACACAGGCAGGTCAGATGAACTGCTGTGTTTTGGGTGGAGCAGCAGCTGAAGCCAGGTTCTTGGCGGCTTCTTTGGCCTTTCCTGACGCGTCCTTCACGGTGTCACTGAGGAGCCACGGTGCTGTGTCTCCTGCAACGGCCAGAGAACTCACACAACAAGGACACAGAGGACACAGAGGACACGAGAACACAGTTAAGTCTCAAAATGCTTCACACACCTCATCCCAGACTGAAGTCATACCTTTAAGCCCTCTAGAGGATCATTCGAGCTACTGCAGTGTAGACATTTACTAGTAGATCTAAGGCCTAAGAACAAACCTCCTCTATAAAAAACAACAAGGACACAGTTGGGTTTTTTTTTTGTTTTTGTTTTTGTTTTTGCAAAATGCATTTACTAACCTGATTGGAGCTCAGTGTCATGTGACTCTTCCGTCACTACAGATTTTCTATTTTGACGATGGCTCCTCATTTTAACGTTTTGTATCACAGTTGCCAGAGGTGTACAGCACCACACAACAGTGGAGCTATGTACCATTTCTGCTGACTGGCTGTAATGTACAGTACGAGGTGAAGCATTGAAATGATATAGAGGGATCTGTGCACACGTGAACATTTGAAGCATTGAAATGATATAGAGGGATCTCTGCACACGTGAACGATTGCGTTTATAGCTCCCCCTGCAGGAGAAAGTCAATAATGTTGCACTGTCGACCCTCAAGGGAAAATGACATTTTTAGGCAACAATTCATGCTACGTCATGGCTCCATCAAAATTGTATTTGATGTAACCAAACAGATGGCGACGTCTGAAAAAATAACAAAAAACAAAGAAGCAAAAACACAAATCAGGACAAAAGATAAAACAGGTCACAGACAGTCTGTGGCTTAGTGGTTGAAAGACCAGCTCTGGGATCAGAGGATTTCCAGTTCAGTTGCTGGCCGGGCTGAGGCCTGTTGACTCTGAACACATGTACACTGGACAATAAAGCGTCTACTAAAATGTGACTCAGACTTTTATTTTCCACAGCAGAGATGTTAGGGTTAGTGCGCAGGGGTCAGGTGAGGTCATTCACCTCTGACTGTATCTGTATCCACTCCTATTTGTCCCTGCAACTCACGTGAGAACGACAACACGAGGGTAATGGTAGTGTGACAGAGGGCTGAGTGTGGCATGTTTTGACACACAGATACAAGTGTTTCCTTTGGCTGCGGAGGAAAATAAAATCTGCAGATCTTAAGAAGGAAACAACATCTCAATAATAATCAGAACAACCTGAGAAACTGCTCGCAGGGTTCGTGCTCGATGTGTTTATACAATTCCTCACTTGAATTCCATATGTTAAGAATAGGATGTGGTTCAATTACCTCCTCTCTGCCTCTGAGTTTTTCCTGTGAAATTTTCACAGGAAAAAGTCATGTAAAAGTCTGGGTCCAGGGTTTGGCTATAAGACCACCATCAACGATCTGTTCCTGTACGACACTAGAAGGGTTTTCTCTAATTCTGCTAAGTCACATTCTACATTTACAGGAAGAGTGTCGCTGCCTGCACCACAGTATAATTAAACAAATCACACGACAATCTGTCAAGGCCTGCGGTTGTGGGTCGATGCCTCACTGCCGCACCGTACTCACCACGACACTTCAGATGGCAACACAGATGAAGGTGGAGTCGAGACAGAAATGAAGCGATGGATGAAACACATAAGGATGACAGTTTGCTGAATGACCACAACACACGGCCGTAACAACACTAAACTCCACAGCAGGGTGATACAATCACAAAACAAGAACTAAAATGTTATTTATAGATCCAGAAAAACCCAAAACCAAGCAGTTCCTGTTTATTATAACACCTGCAAATTTAAGACACTAAAGACTTGAGATATTTTACTGCATCCTCGCAAAAATGATCATTTTGGTGCAATTATCTGACTAATGGCACTAGGTTTAGGTGTTAGTTTTTAATGAATAAACAAAGAAGTTTTGTTTTGTTTCTCTGCTGTGACGACGTGTCCACATACCTCGTAGATTGGACAGTGCATATTCCAGCCCTTTCATGGCCTTCACCTGGTTACTCTTGTAGCGAGATAATCCAAACTCCTGCAAACAAAAAAAGGAAATGTCACATTTAGTTCAAAACAGACAGGAAGATGATTATAAATACATCAAACCGCTAAAAAAAATGTGTCTGATCTTGAACCTGTATCACATTAAAGAAAAGAACTTCAAGGTGAAGTTCAGGAAGTACCTGAATGGGTCGGGAGAAGCCAAAAATACCAGAGGAAATCCAGGCCTCCCGTTTGAGTAGGGTAGTGTCCGGCTCGTCTGTGGAGTCTTGGAAGACACAACGTTCCTCGACTGACTGAAATAGGACCGACAAAGGTGACAACAGGTCATGGTAAGATTGTGAGGTGATTTCATTTAATTTGAACTACATTCAAATCATATCCACAAAACACTGCATTTCCATTAAAAAAATGAAGACAAAATGTCTTGTCAAAATGTCAAAAAGAGAACAATAGCAGTGAAAAATGTCAGGCAAAAGTAGGATATTTAAATATATATTCTGTTTTTTATGGATTTGATAATACATGTCTAATAAATGTCAAAAAGGATTATTTCCAAAATCCCCAGAAATGACAGATTAGTACAGCAACTCACCATGAGTGTGGTGTGGTTGAGGTTCCAGGTGTAAGTGGTCAGTTTTCTGTCCACAGGGTTGACAATGGAGTCCTCAATGATGTACACGCAACGGGAAATACCAGAGGGAAAGAACCTGTCGGCCCAGCGAGGAAGCCGATTGGTCTTTGTCAGCAGCCGCCTGGACAGGAGCCGGTTGTTCGAAGTCACCTCTCGGTACACAACGTCCTCTGTTAAGACATGGGTGCTGGTGGATGGAAAGATAATCATGTGTTTAGAATTTATTTTTTTGTCAAAATACAAAAGGTTTCTAAAGAAGCCAGGTGAAGTATTTAGGCAATGATGAAACCATCTCTAGTCCAACCTTTGTTTTACTTCCCCAGAGTGTTTCTTGGTTCTCCATTTTGGTCACAACAAAGAGCTCTTCTATTTGTACTTAAATGTTAAAATTAAGAAGCATGTACAACAATGTGACACAATAACAGGTCCAAAACAGGGAACAGGTAACAGAACAAGCAGCTACACACACACACACACACACACACAGATACCTGAAAGGATTGGGGTATCTCTGCCAGAAAGCAGAGACAACATAGTCCCATGTGCTCCTGATGTCGGTGTTATTACAGAAGTACTTGACCATTTTCCCCACTGTGCTGTTGATCAGGAAGTCCAGAATTCCCTAACTCTGTGGCTTCCTGCTGTGACCAATTGAAACACTAAAATCCCGGACGCTGACTCCATCCACAGCTTGCAGCAGTCCTTAAAAGAAATAAAATAAAGATGATTTAAGTCAATTATCTCAAAATAACTCATAACACAGTACTTTTATATAGTAGGTACATTGGAAGGTAATTTGATTTATACAAATATCCTAATTATTATTAATGTTTTGTTGTTGGTTTTGTTACGTTCAACATCAACCACACAAACAATGTTGAAACCAAATGACGGAAATAATATCGAATGCTATGTATGAATTAATTAATATGGTTGAGTTCCTGTGAAGTATTTTTAAAAGTTGAATTCAAAACATTTTATCTTTGACCTACTGCTGTCAAAGTACGGAAAATTATTGTTGACTAATTAAGTGACTAATTAGTTGAGTGCCTGAGTTTTTATGAATATACAACACATCTGCAACTTTTTTATGGCATGACACGTTTATTGCATTGTCTCTAAACGAATACATTGGTAAATAAATAAAGATGAGGCGAGTGGTTTCCTCATGGCTAAGAGCTAGCAGCTAGTTGGTCACCTTCGCACTCCCACAGCTCAGCAGACATCATGTCATTCAAAACAACAACTCTGTTTCCAACCCCACGTCTAATTAAAGTGGACAATTATTTCTGACTCACACATTTAATCGATAATTATAAAAAACAATATTGACATATGACTGGTTCATACGGCTAAGAACGAGTCTTACCTGAAAACACTGTTAATAAAACGGCAAGATGTTAAATGTTCAGTTTGTCTGCCTCCGGAAGAGGTATTGACAAATCCTACCTAAAGTTCCTGACGTGTACAGGGAACACGTGACAGACTATTCATACAGGATCAAGTACGTAGCTTATCTATATTTTTAATTATATTAGTTCCGGTCTTTAAATTCTTCTTCATTTGAGGATTGGGCTGCACCTTACATGAACGCAGTTGCTTTACCGCCATCCTCTGGTCACTACAATGTACAACAACAACAACTTCAGTAACACTCCAAGGCAGTAGGTGGCGACATTGATTTGTCTGGGTTCCTTAAAAGAATAGCAAATAAAATCTGTTTCCGCTTTCTCTTCTTCGTTTGTTTCTATCGGTTCTGTCACCCATTGTGTCTTTGTAGGCCTTTGGAGGTTAAACGTTTAAAAACACAACATGTCTGGGTATACACCCGACGAAAAGCTCCGATTCGAGCAGCTCTCAAAGCTCCGCAAGCAGTGGCTGAAGGACCAGGAGCTCAGCCCGAGGGAACCCGTCATACAGGCTAAACCTCCTGGCCCTATTACGAGGTTCTGGAATCGTTTCCTGGAGCCGCAGACCCTGTGGAGGCTTTACGTGAGTCTATAGATTTCCAAAATAATTTAAGCCATTTAAAAGTATATGTGTACACCAATGGGGATTACATTCACGTTTGTGTGTTGTTCTTTTCACAGACCCACAAAGTCTACAAAGGAGCAGTTGCCGTCGTAACCATAGGTTTGATTCCTGCATGGTTTGCTCATTACTGCTCAAAATACTATGTTATGGTAAGTTACATTTATAGTTACATTTATAGCAAGAAGATTACTGTTTGTTCTTAAGTATAGATTTTGTATGCTTTTCTGTTGTGTGTGGGGTGGTGTGGGGTGGTGTTGGGGAAAAGGGGATGAAAAAGCACTAGATGAATTGTTAACGCTAAATCGTTAACGCTAAATCAACTATAGTTATGAGTGTGTGCGCGGGTGTGAAAATGATTGTTCGTCTTTACATGTGTACTGTACTGGACCTGTTAACTGTCCCATGGAAAAAAGATATAAAACTGATGAACCCTTTTGAATCAGTGGGGAGCTGTGATAGACTGTTGGGTGTTAACTCGCAACTTGTACCTTTAAATTGTAATTGTGAGCTCATGTTTAAAATAATTATATTAAACAAGATACATATTATGTTTTTTCACAGAAACAGGACAGGTTCTATAGTATTGTTGGTGACAGAGAACCGGTGTACCCAGTAAGTATGGTTCATGAAACTATGGCTTATCATGTAATCTTTGAGATCTACTCTACGTACTATTTTCACAACTGTCTGTGTTCCATAGCTCTATGAATCCCCTGAAGCATTTTGGATTGTTTTTCAGTGTTTATCAACTTGATTTTGTGTTTAGGGTGACATCATCGCAGAGACAGGTGAAGTTGTTCCAGAACTGCCTGAGTTCAAGGGTCACCACTGATGCTGAAGCCTTCAAGAATTACTTTGTACAAATAACTATGTATCTAACAATAAAAAGTTCATTATAACATATGTGATTGACTATAAATCACTGCTCTGTATTTCGTATTGTGAACTGTGAGTATTGCTGTATTTTATTTTACTAATTATAAAGTAGATAAGTCAAACAGACACAATGCAAATGAAAACAACTTAATAGAAACAAAAGTTTACCAACCTCATGCTCTGAAAATGCTGAATATGCAACCTGCACCAGTGCAAAATAACTCAAACTTTATAGTTTAAACTTCTACATATATACAAAAAGCATTGTAAGTAGGATCTTTACTCTCACCTCAGAAATTGATAGCTACAATTACTGATATGCTGGATTCACAACTATGTTAAAGATACAGATATGTTTATTCCAGACTAATCAAGGTTGGATGTTGAAAAGATCTGAAGTTGAGACAAGTATAAAACAATGAAGGTTAGTAGCAAAAAGAAACACTGACCTGTAATCAATAACAAACTCATATAAAAATGTTAGATGCCTACTTTATTTTGACCTAGGAAGACCACAGAGTAACTGGAAATAAAAGCATTTAAGTTTAGGTCACACTTTTGTCACTTGTAATGTAGTGTAGTACCGGAATGCACCTCTAAGAGGCAGCAACTGGTAATTGTCAGTGGTAAGACTAACTCAAACAGAAGAAGAATATCCCAGAGAGCCTTATGAGGCCAGGCTGTCTGAAACTATAACTATTATGGAGTGACAGCTGCTTTAAAACAAATGTTCCATTTACAAGACGGAAAGGAATATTCAGTTACCAACCTCAAACCCGTTCGACAAAGGCAGAGGTACTATTTCTACAACTTTTCTTTTACTTCATTTTACTTTAGTCGATATTTAGCATTGCTAGCGTGTTAGCTTAAATTAACCAAGACAAGGTAATTTTGAACTGGAGTTTGCCACTATGATTGAAAATATCAGTGTATTAGTCCCAGATCATTGCGGTGTTTGTTAACAACCTGGTAACAGTATACCGATAAACAGGTGTGTTCTCAGTGGTCGTTTCTTTGGTTAAAATCGTCCCATAAAAACGAAACAACGGAGAGTTTACATACGCCTGTCTGTCTGTTAGACACAGACGTTCTGACATAATATTGACAGATTAGTTTTAGTCAAAATCTGAACTTGTGAACACCAGTACAATGTTTGATTAATGTAAAAATACTCTCAGTTTAATTTAGATTTAGTTTTATCAGGTGTTTTATCAATGACATACACGTCAGACTCAGAAAAAAAACAACAAAACGCTATTTTTGAACGTGCCAATTCAGGGACTTGATAACTGCCTTTGAACTTTAGCCAACCTTTCCAAGTTGGGCAGATACAGTACATAATTGCCATGGCAACTTACCAACTATCAAAGGCATTCGATATTGGATGTAATCATTTAATGGGGTGACTATTGGCCAGCGAGTATTTTTGAGTCACTGGTATATCGATTACGACATAGACTCTTGCTCTATTGTTTTTCTATTTGTTTTTTTGGGGGGGGAGGGAAGGCAATTTTTCTTTTCCGCTGACTACATGAGTTTCAGTACAAGTCAAATGGAGGATAATGGCACAGAATATAATTTTGTCATAACACAACACAGGAACTCATCAGCTGAAATGGTTTTCTACTTCTAATTAGATGTAAAATATTTTTAAATTGGTAACTATGTTCTCTCTTTTTTTGGATCAGATCATGTCATCGGTCAAGGCGGTCTCGGAGCGGAGTACTAAGAACTCCAGAAGGAAAACATCTGGAGCCATGTCTGCAGATGCATCTCCTGATTCAAAGTGTCCCATCTGTTTGGATATTTTTAGTAATATCTCCTATCTGGACATCTGTCTTCACAAATTCTGTTTTAAGTGTATACGGGAGTGGGCCAAGAACAAAGCAGAATGTCCACTGTGCAAACAGCCGTTTAATTCCATCTACCACAGTGTCAAGACAGAGCAAGACTTTCAAAAGTATGATTTGCGGCCCTCAAATAATGGCTCTTTTGGGTCCTTTGGTGGAGTGCGGTTTAGATATCGCACCACTCTAACTGGTGTCCATCGGCAGAGACAGGAAAGAACCTCTGTGCAACAGCATACTGGAGTTGTGTTCGAGGCCCCAACAACAACAACAACAACAACAACATCTGCCCAACAGGACCATGACCGTTATTTACGTCAAATGATGATGAGACTGGCAGCAAGGAAAAAAGCAGCACGTGAAGGCAGGGAAGCAACCAAAATCAGAGAACAAGAAATGATCAACTTTAGGAGGGACCTGTACCGCTGGGGCGTTAGGGTTCGGACTGTTCAGGACGGTGGACGATCCCGAGACATCTCTGCCAAGTTTTACCAAAGAAATCCCGCCTGTCTGCATAGACTGGTTCCCTGGCTGAAAAGAGAACTCTTGGTGCTATATGGGCCTATTGGGGGTTTGGTCAACATGGTTCAGCACATCATCATGTCAAAAATCACATGTTTTGACATGGAGAGTGAAGTCTTTCAGGAAGAGCTGAGGCCGTTTCTCCAGGGCCGCACCGATCATTTTTTACACGAATTTATTTGTTTTGCTAAATCTCCGTTCAATATGGAGACCCATGACCACCACGCTGTTTACGACTGTCCAGCCGGTCCTTCAGAAGAAAACAGCAGCTCCAACTCATCTGTAATAGCCATCTCAGAGGATGAGGAGCATTCAGAGGAGTTGGACCAGCCCAGAGAGTCCACGTCTACTCTGGGTCACTCCGTGTCTGATGGCGAGACACCAGGTCCATCATATGCAACATCAGAGGTTAGCAGAGCAGGCCATCGTATATTATTTGAATTAGACTCAGACAGCAGCTTTGAGGGGGAGGAGGAAGAGACAAAAGAGTTTAAAAAGTCCCCGCAGCACATGGAGCAACAGAACCAAGGAGGTGTCAGTCAGGGTGGAGCCAACAGCCAGGAGTGTTTGTCCTCTGATTCTGAGTGTGTCATAGTGGGATTTGTTAAGCCAAGATCTGAGAGGACTCCTGAGCTCATCCAGCTCTCTTCTAACTCAGACTCTGACAGTGAGGATAACACCGCAGTGCCTCCCACACCTTCGATGCTTTCCTTGTCCCTCCATCTCTCTAGTTCAAGCTCCACCGCTTCACATGCTAGTACTCCAAGTGGCACAGAACGATCACGAGTAGAAAAATACCACTATCTGCAGTTGAATTCAAAGGAAGGCTCCAGCAGATACAAAACACCCGATAGATCAGACAGAAAAGACAGAGATAGAAGACAGGATGGAAGCAAGAGCCTGAGGAAGAGGCACAAGTCAAAGGACAGAGAACACAGGAGAAGGAGGTCATGCAGTAGAGAGCGCAGACATTCAAGCAGAAGCCCAGTTACCTCCCAGAGCAGCGTTACCAGGCAGAGAAGTCATTCTTATTACAGGGGCAGAGACTTGCCCTCAGATATTGACAGGTATCACAGGAGTAGCGAAAGTTACCGGAGTTATCACTCATATAGACATTACAGTCATGACGGTGGAAAGGATTATACAGAGAAACAGTCGTACTCTTATAGTAGTGGAAGGTATTTAGATAGACACTCGTCAAACTCTTGCTCCAGAAGCCACAGCAGAGACTCACAAAAACACAAAAGGAGGTATTCTTGTTCTCCATCTCATAGTCGCTCGCCTTCCACAAAAGGGAGGTTTTATCACGACAAGCCGGGTGGAAAAAGGAAATACAAAAGCAGACATTTGGACAGTCCGTCCAAGTGCACACCATCTGATTCATGTCCAAATATGGACTCCTCCAGATCAACAAAACACAAGAAGAAGAGCAAAGAGAAGCACAGGAAAAAATCCAAGGACAGATCGAGAAAGAGCAGCAGGAGCCGCAGCGACGAGGAGCAGCACGTGGACAAGGAATGCTCGGCGGAACAGAGCAAGCGGCATCACAAGAAAAAGAAAAAGCACAAGAAGAAAAGTAAAAAACACAGGCGTAACGACAAGTGCGAGGAGGAGCGCTCACTCACCGTCATCACCATCGACAGTGATAGTGATTCTTGGACAAATGTCTGCGTCAACCAGGTCAGCAGCACCACTAACAGGGACAACTGTGTGGACGACACATCAGTGGACCCAGAAGAACCTGGCCCTCTGACCCCTGGGTCATAGATGTGTTTGGTACTAAAGCCTTAGAGCCAGTTAGAGTTGACGTGGTTCACTCAAACCACTACTGTTCTCTGTGCCATGATTAAATAGAAAGAAATGTTGTCAAAAACAGATGTATTTAAATTTTTACTATTGCAATCTGCACATACTTATGATATATGATATCAGGGATATGATTTTATTATAAAGTCTTCTTCTTCTGTTGTCTTTTTCATATTCTTCAAAACAAACCAATTATGACCTGCTGCTCATGGAGTAGAATTTACTATCAAGTGTGTAGATTAAAACAAAGGTGCTTTTAAAATAAATTTGTATCTAAAACAAAGTATTTTATTGTCATTGTTGCATTAACAACGAGGTAGCATAGCATCACTAGAAGATAGTAACATCAACAGTTTGTTTTTGTTTAATTCACTTAAAAAAAGAATCAGCAGATCTTGTTTTACATAAATATAACTCAAAGAAGAACCAGTCATTTTTTTATAGTCTCAGACCCCAAGGACAATAATGGGGTTAAAATTAGTAATTGTCATTTTTGTTCAAATAACTAGAGCGTTGTAACTAAAACAGTTTTCCCTCCTAAAGCTTGGACAGCTTTGAGTTTCAAATGAAAGGCTAATGTACAAGAAGGTAGGAAGTGAAACGGAGACAAAATATTGGTAACAATCAGCGTTTTTACCGACAAACGTTAATCGTTATCATCACACAGGAACAAAGCAAAATGTTTAAAACAAAGGGTTGACACAATTGTGCCATTGTGTTACTCCTTAAATGTGACGCTAATTCTTAAGAAAAAGGCAAACTTAATAAGCAGCACAGTGAACTATAAACCCTGTCCTTTATTTCTGTTCTTCATAATGCAGACATATGGTTCAATACTATCACACATGCATGCTTTGGCATCAGTCCATCTATTCCACTCTGATGTGTCAGAAAGTCCACTTTTATAAAAAGAAAAAAAAAATTACGGATAGCGTTCTTAGAATCTTTGGAATGTCTTGAAATCTTCTAGTATTTCCTGCCGTCTTCCTGCAGTGCCCAGTCATTCACCTGACTGCTCACTCAACACCCAAAGTGGTAACGTAAATCTCGATTCGTGCTTTTATTTTGAAAGTAAACCAACAGGAAGACGAGTGTTCTGCGATCTACAGCACATGCATTTTGGATAAGAAATCTTTCTTTACAAGGGACTGCAGTCATGGCACCAATGGCCTCCGTTAAGGTGATGCACTCAACAGTAGTGTTTACGTTGTTTTGAAAGATATGTAATGCTGAAACTCGAGTAAAATATGGGTAGCAGAGGGGGAAAGGGGGAGGGGTGTCGGAATAAATGATATTTGCATGGTGCATTCTTATCCGTATTTTAGCACAGCTGTAGTTTGTTGTTTTTGATCAAAATCTGTGTAACAACAGTGGTGGTGTTAGCGTAATATGCATAAAAAATTCGATAATGAGAGGTACCAGAGCTGCGGTACCACGTGTTCCCTTCGGAAGCTTTTAGCTGCAGCTCAGTGGCATCTGGTTGGACTGCAGTGATGGTTACAAAGTCCGATTCCGTTTTAAGAAGCGAGAACTACAAGTTATATAGTTTTATTACAACAAACAGCGTTGTTTATCATGCAGTTTTATGTGCAATGATTTCATGGAAACGTCACAAAGTTAAACAAAAAACAAACAAACAAAATAAAAACATACGTGGACAGACAGATTGTCCTCGGGGGATTTACGTATTGGTTTTCACCGATGGATTTTTCTGTAGACTTTGAATAAAACATTAACCTGCAGTGGTGGTGCACTGTCATTCAGTAATGTCAGAGGATCTTCAGGAGCTGCTGAGTGACACTTAGCATGTGAATAAATATGTCCACGAAGTCACAAACACACACGGTGTTGGTTTCCAGGTGGCTCCCAACTTAACTCAGAAGTGGAAAAACTAGATAGGCCAGAAATCAAAGCAGTCAAAACGACTTCCTGTAGGATGCAGTTTGAAGCTCTCAAAAAGATTTGCACAAAATGCAAGTGGAAAATTAAATGTCTTGGACTCGAAATGAGGAATGGTAAGAGTTGAATGTGAACAGCTGATTGTCAGCGACTTATATTAAGGCATTATAATGGCTGTCTACGGTTGGTTTTAGGAGCAGGTTCTGAGTCCAACTGTTTTATATATGCACAAACACCGAAAAAATGCGCTAACTAATTAAGCGCTAGTATATGCACAAACACCGAAAAATATGCGCTAACTAATTAAGCGCTAACAGGCAATTTTAGAACAAATATTATGGAATAACAATACATTTAACTTCAAGCCTTATGTAAATATGTTAATACATATTTATTTAAACATTTGTTTATGAACTGTAGTACCATTCTGACTCGGTGCTCGGAAATCTCGACGTTCGTGAACGCATCATTAATTGTTGTACACTACTATGTCACAAACGGAACATTAAACCTCTCTGGGCCCGGCGAGGTTCGTCGCCGTGGTCACTGTCAATCTTAGGGGTCGTGTCCCCCACCCACCATCACCCAACGTCTCTATTACATTCTGTGCGCATAGCTGAGTTATGTAAGAAGGTAATTTTAATATTTAACCCATGAGGGTTAAATGTTTTGCTGAGATTAGCCAATGGTAGTCTTTTCTTATATTCAGATCGGGATTATCGGTGGTTCAGGACTCGATGATCCAGACATCCTGGATGGAAGAAAGGAAGTGTATGTTGATACACCGTACGGAAAGGTTGGTTCAAAAAATCAAATCAAAATATAGAGCAGTTCATGACTAGGTGTAGAATATGTTGACAGATTGGGACACAATAAATTATAACAGCATGTTACGATTCGATAATCTCGTCGTTGTTCAGCCGTCTGACGCTCTGATACTGGGGAAGATAAACGATGTGGACTGTGTTCTGCTTTCAAGGTAAGAAAAAAAAAATCTCCACTTCACTTTGTTTTGTGAACATATGTTCTCTAGTAGCACCATCTAGTGGACAAACTATGTCCGATACAGGGAAAAAAAGTTGTTCATTTCAGTTCAGATTACACAGTGCATTTCTGTGAATCACATATTCAACTGCACTCGTTATGGTTTATATTTTTCTCAGACACGGAAGGAACCACACCATCATGCCCACGGATGTGAACTACCAGGCCAACATCTGGGCGCTGAAAGAACAGGGCTGCAGCCACCTGTTGGTTACCACGGCCTGTGGTTCACTAAGAGAGGAAATTAAACCAGGAGACATCGTTATTATCGATCAGTTCATTGACCGGTGAGTGTAACACGACCCAGTCAACGTGTCACTGTCTGTGAAAAAAGTGTGTGTGTGTGTGTGTGGTTTTTTTTTTGCAAGATTGTGAATCTGCGCCATCATAGTTTGGATTAAAAAAACATGGTATGCGCCATCATAGTTTGGATTAAAAAAAAAACATGGTTGAAAAAATACAAAAATAAAAATCACAGCGAATTACAACTGTTCAGAAGATTCACCAAAACTACACACTGATCTCTTGATCCAACACAACGTTGTTTTAGAGCTGCAGCCAATGTCGGATCCTCTGGTGACCCCACATGACCTTTAAAGGTCACAATACGCCAAGTTTCTACTTCCAGCATAATAATTCACCTTGTCAAAAAGCACAAGATGCCTCAAACTGGTTTCCTGACCAGTACAATGAGTCCACTGTCCTCCCATATCAGTAGCTGGATTCAATAGGAAATCACAGGGAAGTGGTTCAATGGAGGGATGAGTGGAATAAACATGCTGCGGAGATGATGTGATGTAGGCGTTGACCCCACAGACAGTTAGATTAAATGCTGAACTCGTTGTTTTGTTAACATCACACTGAACCCAGTGAATCTATTGGACAGAAACGTGGACAGTCACAAATAAATGACAGGAAATTAGCGACACAGTAGATCTTTGCTCGAATCAACTCATGATAACGACTGCGGTTGAACTTGTGGTTTGGCACGGTGAGACTCGGAGTTTTGGTAAATTAGAAAGCCGTTGGATTATTTTGGGGAAGTTCGGTTTGAGCTGTTTAAACGATGTTGTTTTGCATACATTTGCACATCCTAGAATAAAGTCTCTGCTCATCTGGGTGACGGAGCTTGACATTCTTTACCAAAGGGAAATTTAAACACTCAAATTCTGTTTCCATTTCATTACACGTGCACCAGTGTGTGACAGATTTTTAATCCTCTTAATTTGTTTAAAAAAAAGTTTATTTTTAAGTCCATTGTCTGTCAGACCTCTCCTAAAAAGAACATTATCATCACAACATCATTAATCTAATAAATAAAGTAATGGATGATATTATTTTTACAGAAAAAAAAGTTTAGTAGTAGTTAACTGGATGATTTTTTTTATCTTGTTTGGATAAAATAAATAGAAGGTTTCACTGATTTTGACTGAGTTTTCATTAAAACCACTTTTGACAACTTTGTGATGTAAATCCACCTGAGTACGTCATGTACTACAGTGTATGCTAACCTTTTAATACAGAGGCTAATGCTACATGCTAATGCTATCTGTGCAGTCGTTTCTAAAAAGCAATTCCACACAAACCATAACACCATCCCTTTCTACTATGGTTTTGATCATATATATATATTATAGTTATATATATGTCTTTAAAAACTCTATGATGATTTTTTTTTTATTATTAAACTGTAGAGTAACTAAAACCAAACCGTCAGTGCTGGTGTCTGATAAGACTAGTACAACAGATACGTGTTGTACGACGCTGGAGCATCTTCCCACAAATCTCAGTGACAGGATTCATGTTACTGTGTGACAGGAACATCCAGATAGCTGAGTGAGAACCAGAGGAAGGACTTCACTCACGCTGTAGTCGACGAGTGTCAAGGCCAATATTTGTTTACTATCACGTTCAGTGGGAAACCTCGTCTGTTGAGCTTTTTAAGGGTTCGCTTCAGTTACACTTTGCTTCAGGCTGTGGTGAGAATAAAACAAAGTGTGTGAAAGTCCACCTATGGAATGAGTTTCCGCACAAAGTGACGAACGATGATCTTTACCGCTCTGGACTGCAGTTCAGAAAAAATGTAAATTAGGATTTAGACTCTTATGAGTTGAAGTGCTGAGAGAATTCAGGTCGGACATCTGTGCAGTGAGGGCCAGGCATCGTGCCCAGGAGGAGGTGGGATGGAGTCTGGCTTAAAGTCAGAGATTTGTAGTGGTGTGGGAAGAAAATGCACTTGGAATACCTGAAATGACCCTTTAAATTCCCTGCGGGGTAAAGTGGATTGTTCAAAGTCCAGAGTGCCACGTTGACATGAAGGATATTTTTTATGAGAAATAAATTATTTTTAATTGGTTTATTTAATGCACACACAAATCCTATTTATTTTCATTACTGCAGAATAAAAACACTTTTGTAATGCAATAAAAAAAATTGGAATTACTGAATCTTGTTTGTAGTAGTTTTTGTCTACCTTTCAGTGAAGAAAGGTAGACAAAAACAACTACAAACAAGATGAAAGATTAAATACTTAACAAATGTAAGTATATAGCAAACATAACTTCAAAGTGACTGAGTTTTTAAGGAATGTTCACGTTTTAAGGAATGTGCAGCGGCTCACATTATAACAGGTAGTGAACTATGCTATGACATTCACTTCCTGGTGATGTGAACATGAAAGAAAACCTTTCCATGGGAAAGCATATTTTCTCAGCCGTCTCTCAGACCTCGGGGCTTGGACTTGTCTTGCCTGTGTGTAGCATTGTTTGAGCGTGAGCGCGACTGTTGTTTCCTGACAAATGCCATGCAGTAAGTCCCATCTGTTCATTGAAAGGAGCATTTCAAACAGGTGGACACCTCAGTGGTAGAATTGATCAGTGAATAGCGTTTTTCTTTTGTTTTTTTTCTTGCCCTGATGTCAGTGTGTTTCCCAGGCATTTACACATGTTTATCATGGTGCCTGTGGTTTAACTCACCTGTGTTGGCTAACAGCCCAGCTATTAATATCAAGAGCAAACACTCTTTAAAAAAATGAGGAAGTCGTGACTAAGACATGTTGAGACTTGTTTCTCACATTTCATTTTTTTTCTCTCTCTCTCTTCAGACATAGCCTTACTCTATTAAAGTAAAATGAAAATCCAGCCTACACCTATTCCAGTTCTCTGCACCTTTAAACCATAACATTCTGTCTTCATCGTCACTGTAATAATTGTCTTCAGGATTTTTTTTCCTGAACATAAGGGCTTTGATTATTTTTAACACATATGTCTAAAAATTAAAAATAAAATTACAATTTAGAACATGAAATGAAATACAAGTTGTTAAAGAACCAGGGAAAGCTTTGCACAAGTCACTAAATTAAATTAAAAATGATAAAAACACATAACATTTACATAATTGATCAGTCAAATAAAATTATTATTTAATAGTTTTATCTTATCGTTTAACGTTAAAAGCGACTTTCATTTCATTTTGAACTTTAACATAATGTTATGAGCTATCGCAAAGGGGAAGTATGCGGTTTTTGTTTCATTATTATTAGCATGTAGCGCCTCTTCCCTCATCAACTAAGGAGGCCTGGCCTGTAGGTGGTGCTGAGGTACACATTTGAAAGCCCAGTTTAATGATTCATATATTCCGGTGCGTTGTTTTATATAAAGAACGTTTACATTTTATTGCCTCAAGTTACTTTGCAGTGTTAACAGGAAGGCTAGCATGTTAATTAGTGATGTGTTAGCGGGCTAGCGCGCCAGTGTGTTAGCACACCGCATGTAATATCCTCACTTGTACGTAGCATTTTCTTTTGAGGGTTATGCTAACGCTCTTATTTTCACTTCCTCTTTGCAGCCAGACTGAATGTTGGTTTATTTTTACAGAGAGGAGATAGAACCTCTGCTGATGTCCACGGGACAGGAGAGGAGATTCTTTTTTAAAATGAATCCTTGTCCATTTGTGTACCATAGAAGTATCATTTTACCTAACTGTTTGGTCCACTGTTCCCTGTTTTTATATCGCACCTTGTTAGCTCTCATTGTTTGTGTGTGTTTATCAGGACGACCAAAAGAGCTCAGACACTGTACGATGGACAGGAGACCAGTCCCGCAGGAGTCTGTCACATCCCTATGGCCGAGCCTTTCTGTAAGAGAACCAGAGAGGTGAGTCCATGAAAGCTTTGCATAGATCTAACATTTTACATTTTACATTTATTGAGTCATGAATAAAAAAAAAAAAATTTGCTACATTTATTGAGTCATGAATAAAAACATTTTTTTTTTGTACATTTTTAATATGTAAGACTTTTTAGCTTTTTTTTAGCTTCATCAATTATGGTGATGTTGTTTGTGAAGATTGTATGTTGTTGTTTTTCAAACTAAAACAACAGACCTAGAATTTCTGACATTCATTTCTAACTTTTTGTCCCTCCTGATGCAGGTCTTGGTGGAAGTAGCCCAGAGTTTAGGCATCAAGTGCCACGTGCGCGGGACTGTCCTGACAATTGAAGGGCCACGTTTCTCCACAAGGGCGGAGAGCCTAATGTTTCGGCAGTGGGGCGCTGAGGTCATCAACATGACCACTGTTCCCGAGGTGGTCCTCGCCAAGGAGGCTGGCTTGTGCTATGCCAGCATTGCCATGGCAACGGACTTTGACTGCTGGAAGGATCATGAGGAATCGGTGAGTGTTGGGCTGGACATCATGATACCAGGTTTGATGACCTTGTGTTAATACTTTTTGTGTTTATCTTTCTTCAATTCCTGTGAGTATATGTTCAACTAAACAAGCCCAGGTTTCACACCGGCTAACAAAATTATGAGTAAATAGATTTTTTTATTATTTTATATTCTTTCTGGGACATTATTATTATTTTAGAATTTAAAACTGTGCCATGGCTCAAGTAAGATTGCGAAACAGCTGTGTGATATAACATTGTGTATGTTCGAATTAGGACAACAAACAAGTTTTGGTCGTTGCACTCTGTCATTTGTAAGGCCATCCTGTTTTGTTCCAGTTGCGCAAACTCAAGTGTGTGTGGCTTGTTTTGGCCTCAGAGTGACTGCGTCTCTGTCCAACACTGTAGATTATGTGCTCGATAAATAGCATGTGGGCGAGTGTTGTCACTGATCCAGCCAAACTCACAACTTCACTTCCGAGTTCCGGCAGCTGACCTCCCCTGGCCCTCCTGTTACTGAAGCCTCACCACATCCTTCCGCCTCCCCCACGTCTCCCATCTACACACCCCCCTACTACCGCCTCCTGCTCCCCTCCCAGCAACACTGCCAGCCTCCGGTGGAAACCCTGCCAGAGGAGGTTGACTCACACTGAGTCATCAGCTTCACTGTCTGTACGGCAAACAGCAGAGAAACATGAAGCTGGTCATTGAGTGTATTATCAAAACAAAGCACTTAAGGACAGAGTTGAACAGTAACAATACTGTAACTACCTGTGTAACTACACCTGGCTAAGAGACTCAGAGACTTGAATCTACTACACACACACACACATACAGTATTCTTAACCATAATTGAGGTTGTAGCTTTAGCGCATGGCTACAGCAGCTGATTAAGTGGATGTTAATGACCTCAGATAAGTACATGTTTGGAGCTTTAAACTTTATTGTTTTTCCAGTTCACGTCTGTGGGTTGACACAGTTTGTGTATCATGGTTCACTCATGGCTCACTCATGTACACAGCTGGCCGCTGGACGAACAGTCCAGTCAATACATCAACACTTGGATTTTTAATAGACTAATATAATAATATACAATAAATTATATTTGTTTATTAGTCTATATATATATACAGTATAATTATATACAAACCAATTTTACATCTTGAAAGATAAGTAAACAAATACCTCAACGCCACAAGTGTATCGCACCTGAAGGGGGCAGTGTTACAATCTGCAGTTTCTTCAGTTGGGCATGTCCAAACAGTTTTTTTTCCCCTCTTTGCAAACGGCACAGATTCCATTCCAAGGAAACAATGCTAGGATTCATGCGGTTACAATTGTGTTAGTGGTTCAGGGAAAATGAGTCAGCATTTTCACACAGCTGAGTTCAGGTCTGAACTCTGCTGAACATCATTCGACTTAGTGATATTACAATTTTAGTCATTTACGTGAATGTACATTCCTAAATCTAAATGCCCTTTACCAAATTCTAAAATGTAATCCTTGGATTACAAGATGTCGCGATTTTTAAATTGAATATTTTTGCAAAACGAAACGCAAACTTGTAAAATAAACCAAGTGAAGTGAGAGAGTGAGTGAGAAATGCTAAATAAAGATGGCACCTGCTTTTCTTTTTTTTAAATTTGGAAATGGCTTCCTGAGTTATACATAAATATATATTTGTATCTATATATAAAATAGATCTCTTTATATTTCTTCAACGGTTGTTCCTGTTTTCCGTCTCTCGTCTTAGGTCTGCGTTGACAACGTGCTGAAGACGATGAAGGAAAACTCCAACAAAGCCAGCAGTATCCTGCTCTCAGCAATACCTCTGATCAGTGACATGGACTGGACTCACACAATACAGACTGTGAAGGTAGGCTTTCATCTTAGCCATGAGTCATTTCAATCGCATCTGCGGTTGTGAAAGTTTGTTTGAAAGAGAGTCTGTTATTCAAACGGCGTGGAGCCCAATTCCTTTCAAATCATGATATAAAAATAACATTTAGGCCAAAGCTGAAGTAATGAATCGCACTTGTGTTAACCTTTGTGAAAATCCCCCTCCCCCACCACCTTGCACAGACGTGAGCAATGCCTGTCACCTGCTCAGACACTGTCGTTATTGTTTTACCTCCTCAATGAAACCCAGCAATGCAGCATTACAGCCTTTGTTCACTGTAGCGGTTCAATCACACAGGGATTTAATGTATGTAAGCCTTGACTTCCAGGTTTGTATTTTAAATGAGTATTATAGTGTTTATATATTTACTCAGCAGGTCACAGAAGACGTGATAGATGCTGCATGATTTAGCCTCTGCTAGCCAGTGGAAGAATCTCAATTAGTGTTGAAAATACAATGGTATGATAAGGCCTGGGATTTTAATTATTTCCTGAAAACAAAACTTATAACATGTTAAATAATTTGTTTCATAAATAGTATTATCATTGCAGCACTTGAAGTTAATGGTATTATCTCATAGCTAAAGGAGTTAGGATGAGCTAACGCAAGCTACAACAGGCCTGGTTCAGACAGACAGTGAAGCCAGCCCACAGTAACCAGATGAAAGCATTTAGAGTAAAAAAACAAACAAACTGTTAATGAAGTATAAAAATGAAAATACACAGATAAATATAGAAAAAAACAAACTGTTAATGAAGTATAAAAATACACAGATAAATATAGAAAAAGAAAATGTTGCTGTTGAAGTAAACAAGTGTATTTTGATAAATTCACTAGTCAAACAAAATTAATTAAATATGAATATTTTTAAAGGTTTCATTTAATTGCAATACCTCTAATTAATGGTGTTATTTTTATTTATATTAATATAAAAATAAAAGTGTATGTTATTATAAAAAAACTAAGGAATTGAACAATGATATTTAGAAAAAAAAAAACAGAAACAGCAAGAGGAAGCGACAGTTAACTCCATATTTGGACTCTATCCGGCCTATGATTTGTGAATCACCAGTGTCAGAATTTGACTCGCACTTGAAACTGAAGGTTTCTGTTTTTGTACAACTTGTTTTCTGACGTTTGGTTTCAGGTTTTTAAGATAAAGCAGATATACAGTATCTTCTGTTGAAGCACCATCACTTTGAAGAGAGGGCAGGATCAGCACTCACTCACTTTTTTGGTTTTCTTTTAAATCAGTTTTGACCAAATATAAAATCTGCAGGAAGAAAAAGTAAAACATAAATAATTTTTCCGAAAAGTGCTGCTAAAGATATTCAAATACGACAAACAGTTCTTTAACATATTCTATCCAACAATATTTTTTTTTAATCGTACCTCCATTCTTAAATGAATAACCCTAACCCTTGAATACAGTCTGCCTATCAAGGACACTCAAACAAACAATAGATTTTATTACCGGATCTAACTAGTTATTTTATTTGTCTATGACTCACATGCCAAACGAGGGAAAAAAAAAATTCTTCCTTCTTTTTTTTTCCAGGCGATGGCTAAGTCGTCAGTGATGTTACCGAAACACTGAGGGAACAGAACGACCACACGTAGCATCAGCACACACTCTCCCGATGAACTCTACGCCGCCTCGGAATTCATCTGCAGTGAATCACAACAAAAACCTCTTCTTTTTTCCAGGGAAAATATGCTTCGACCGCTCTCTGTTCTCTAACAATCAGTCTACCTCACAAACTGGTTAGGATCACAACACTAAACTAGTAACAACACACTTTCTATTTTGTGGATTTACATTTTTGATTTCTGTGAATTTCTAATCAAATACTTGCAAACAACTGCATAGTTTTAATGAAACACCATGGTTAGAAATGACAACTTGTTTATATAAAATAACTGTGGTAACACCTTCAAATACCTACATTTATAAACTCTGAATGCTGTTTAATGAACAATTTTAGCACCAGGCACATTTCTGGGTTTTCTTGTTGGGAAAATACTTTTTGTATGTGGTGAGTTTCTTTCATTTGACCATTCTTAAAAATATATATATTATTATCATCATGATTGCTAATTGTGAATCCATCATTGTGATTACACTATGTTTTTGGACTTTTTTATTTCTTTTGTTGCCATGACGCTCGTTAAGGTAGTGGTGAATAATACAGACGACAGTTGAAGGTGGGCGATGTTTAATGTGGTACGAAATAATCTTCGGGATTCTTATTAGCAACATTTCAATGTTCAGAGTTTACTATTTGGGGTAATGATCTCAACACTAATTGTCGGAGAGCAATTAAGCTAATTTCTGCCCTCGGGCTTGTCTTTGACAGTGCTGCGTTCACAGACATCTTGAAAGTACCGTTATTACAAAAAACGCTTCGATCACAATGTGACGAAACAGCTAACTTTTAATGCAATAGATGTCCTGGCATAACACTAATGACTTCAGGTGCTATCTGTTTGATAATTTTTATGAAATCGTTTTACCAGACTTTTAAGAAAAGTAGAGTTTTGAAATGTTTTCTATTTTTCTCTTACGCTGTGGAAATGCATGTTGTGGGAACACGTGATTTAAAAAAATCCTCTAAACTGAACACTACAATAAAACTGTTGCATCAGCCTGAGTGTGTCCTGTGTTGAAGAGTCCACCGCAGCAGTTCTACACAATATTAATACTTCAATTTTTAATAGGTCAAGCACTTTCATAATGACAACCAAAGGCAAAACAAGGAAAGCAAGTCTCTCTGCTGAAATCAAGTTCTTTAAGCTTTACTTAAATGATTTAGTCCATAGAAAAGCCAGCTGCATTTCTTTTCATGTGAAAATAAATACAGACATCATCGAGCAAGCCTGAGAATAAGGACAGCAAATTGTCAAGAATAATCTCACTCGCAAGTCTGTTAAGACGTATACACTAAATAAATATATCGGGATTTAAAAGGATCGATTTAAAAAAAAAAATTAAAGTGCAAACAGGGTCCGAGTGTTGGGGCAACATTTGTACAAAAACACCTCTAACCCAGTGTTTAAGAAGTAAAAAGCGATTTGCAACATTATAGTGCCTTTTTTCTTTCTTCCTTTTTTTTTAAGACCCATGCCTTATTTTAGCAACTCAATCACAAAATCATTGTGGTTATTTATCATCGCTCTCAATGCTAACCCGGTTGTGCTTTTAAAAAATACCACAAACCTCTTCTGAAACTTTCAACGAATCGTTTTAAACCTATCTGTAGGCTACAAAAAAAAAAAATGCGTGATTGAATTATTGCGATTATGAATCGTCGTGTTGCATTTGAACGGCTCACATTTTCTGTTAATGTTGCACCAGTTGTCCAGCATCGGTTCCTCGTTGAATGCACATTCGCGATAGAAATATCCGTTAGTAATTGAATAATATTGTAGAAGAAGTAGAAGCGGACAAATAAATTATTATTTATGACACAGCGCTGCAGGCTGAAGGCCTCTGTGGGCCCGCGATGGATCACAGCACCTCAGCCTCGTCATTCAATAACACTCGGCCTTCTAGAAAAGCCACCACGTCTTTGCACCCGTGTTCTCGGGCCAAATCAACAGGCCGAGAATTGTTCATGTCCCGGGCCTGCGGATCGGCCCCGTTATCCACCAGCAGCCGCACGGTGTCCACGAAGCCCATCCTGGCGGCGTCATGCAGCGGCGTGCTGCCGGTGCTCCTGTCCGCCACGTTAGGATTGGCTCCGTGCGCGAGGAGCAACTCAGCCACCGCGGTACTGCCCATCATCATCACCTTCGGCATAAAACACCACGGGAGAAAAATATTATAAAACACGTAGAAATAATGATGAAAAAACAAACAAAAAATACAAAACACAATTTAAACAGTTTAACAAGCGCATATCTAAAAAGCCAGGTGCGGATAATCTCTGACCCGCGGACCAATTCAGGCACTTGGGTAGATTTTATATGTAGCCTATATATTTCATATAATTCAAGGATAGAAAATAGAATGACTTAGCACATTTCATGCTACTAAGAAACTGTTCTAATAGTTGTCCAATATTCTAGTATATTCCCTAATCATCAAAATATTTAACTTTTCTTTTTCTTTTTTTGGAAAAATTCAAATAATCCGCTTTATTGCTTATTGACAGTGCTGTGCACATACAGGAAAATATATGACCGGTTAGTTAGTGGATTACTAACTCAGTTTCTGATAATCCAGTGTTATTAGAAACCAGCCTGGTTTGTAGTCTATAATTCTGTTGTCAGGTTTTGGTAAGGTAAAAACGTACCAAGTGCGTACTGGTCCAGTGCTATCTGTTTAATTTAATATGAACTGGAAGCCGAGTGACCTCAACACAGATTTGTGCTGTTTAATATAAGTCGGTAGAATTCAGTCACACATTTATTGAAATAACTGATTTTTTTGTGAGTCCATTTTAAGGTGAACTCATATGTAACGACGCTACTACAGATATTCCAGCAATGCTTTGCCAAATAAAGGCCCATGACATTACAAAATCACACTTGGCGTAGGTTTTTCTTTCAGGCCTTTGAGAGGAGACATGGGACCGCCATTTTATTCTACATCTAATTTACTCTGTTCCACAAGTTTAATCCTATAACTGACCTACAGTCAAACGATAACTGAAGTTGAAGAGCATACTTTTCTGGTAAATAAAAAATCTGGCAACAAATACAGTCGGTGTAGTTTTAACGGCTAATAACATACTCCGGTAAAAAAAGAGAAAAGATAATACATCAGATGTTTTAATTTTTTAAAAAAAAAAAAGATAATGCATCAGATGTTTTAATTTAAAGTATTGTTCTGTTATTTATTTATCTCCGGTAGAAAAAGGGTCTAAATGTTCACGTGTGTTTTTGTTTAATATACAAAAAAAACTGCTTCTCGCTGCTTCTTTGTTCATTCAAATAAGGAAAAAAGTCTGCTCTGGGCCATTAACACAAACACACGTTTTTGTTTTTTACTGTGTACAGTATAAGGTTGTTTTAAATAACCAGTTTGACAAAGTCCTTCACATAATGCGCGATTGTGGATTTCTGTGTTTCAAATTTTCTAGCGGTGTTGACACCGACCTGTATGGCGCTCCGTCCAAAGCGGTTC